TTTTCCTTTGGAGGGAAAAGAAAATCCTAACTTCAATCTTATTGAAGAAATGGGGATGTTTTCAAAGGCAATTTGGCATGTCTAAATATATAAATACAATATTCACACAATGGAATACAACAAAATAAACCTCAAAAGGAAAGCATCAAACACCACCAAGTACTGAAAATTACAAATGAAAAAAGATATAATTTATCATTATCAAATTGGCAAAGATTAGAAATTGATGATTGTATTGGTGAGGATATAAGAGTATTCTTACACAGCAGTGGAGATGTAAACTGGATAATTTGGCAACTGAGTTCAAGAGTACTAACAGGGTTCATATCTTTTGAAATAGTAACTACCAAGGTATTACTTACAATGGTAAAAGAAAAAAAACCCCACACAAAACAAGAAAGTTCTGTAAGTAACCTAAATGTTTAACACTAGGTAAATGGATACATAAATTATGGTAAATGGTATGATGAAATATTATGTAATCAGTAGAATGACATTTTTAAAGATAGTAAAGCATATCATATAATATTAAGTGTTAAGAGGAAGGATAAACAATTTCTATATAATAGATGATGATTACATTGGTATGAATGGGTGTGTGTTATATAGAAATAACACTGGAAGAAAACCCAACAAAATGTTAATAGTGTTTCTCTCTAGATAATATAATTATTTCGGAAAAATTTTCTTTTCTTTTTTTTTTCTTTAACTTTTCCGTACGTTCCAGATTTTCTGTTAAGAGCAAATACTGCTTTTATAGTCAGGAGAAATTCAATGATATTTTCAAAAAGGAAAGCAAAATAATGAGAAAATTTATGTGACAGACATAATGAAAAAAGTTCAAAATTAAGAATTAATAGAAAGACTCAAATAAATGCTGAAAATTCTACACTAAAAGTGGCGAAAAGAAATAACTGAATCGTTAACACATGAGGAAATGAATAGCCACACAAATCCACTGCATGGAAAAATGAACATCTTCACTAGAAAGGAAATACCCAAAGCGAATAATTTTAAAATTTCAATAAAAATATGAACCTGAAAATAATGAATAAACTGAATGACAAAATTTAGTGGGG